GGGGGGGGGGGGGGGGGGGGGGGGGGGGAGAGGAGAGGAGGAAATGAAGGAATATGAGAGGTTGTCTAGTTTAGGCTTAGGGCAGCATATCACCTGAAACTGATTTCTGGAAGAAAAGAGGGAAAAAACGCATTTTTTTTTTCATTTTAACACACAACTGATGGAGGATATTTTCGCTCGAAAATATCCTATAAAATATCCTCCAACTGATGGAGGATATTTTATAGGATATTTTCGAGCTACACCAGATATGTCGAGGAAAAAATATTAACAAATTTTTTCCTCGACATATCTGGTGTAGCTCTTGTTTTTGATCATCCATCTTATAGCTGGCAATTTTTTTGTACAAGCAAAACCCGTTACGCATAAAAGCAAATACCGTTACGCCATGATATAGTTTTTGACTGCTCGGATCTAGCGTTCTTTGCACCAAAGGGAGGGAAAGGAGAGGTGGGGCGAGGGGAAGAAGAGCGTTTGATGCGAATAAGCCATCAGTAAAAAGCAGGGATTTGCGATTCTGTTAAGAAAGCATAATCTCTTGTCGCTCAGTATCACAGAGAGCTTTTTTTTGCTGTGTTTGGTTTTCTAACATTTTTTTACCAATCTTTTCAACTTTCTCCAGGAGCCACTTCCAGGAAAAATAATTTTTTTTCTGACAAGTTCATTGGCTTCGTAGTTTCAGAATTACTGCACAAGTTTACGAAAGCAAAAGGAAATGCAGTTGGAGCTACTTTCCTCCGGTTCAATTGATGGCTTATCCTCTGAAGCAATGAAAAAGCTCGGTGAAATCATCTACATGGCTATCGTATCGGTCGATGATGTTAAAGCTTCCACGGATGAAGGATTGTTTTGCGATCGGTCAACTTTTGATAAAATTTTTTCTGTAATTTTTGCAAAAAATGATACTTAGATGGTTCGAAAAATAGGTAACAGTATGTACGAAGCGTGCCAGTCACTTGGCCACATTACTAGGAAGGCTTTTAATTATCAATAATTTATCATCATACGCGTAATATTATTTTTCAAGTGATAACCATGTCATAACATGTGTCACTGGCTGCTCAGCCTCATGTGAGCTCGGGCGCTTCTCAACACCTGATTTTGCTGGTACATGAGTAGGGAACATTCCCATAAAATTTCAGCTTCCTAGCTT